AAGAGCCATTACTGTCAGAACTTATTCCATTAGCTCTTCTGGTTAAATGCTGGAGAAAAGTGGGCTTTCTCAGTATTCAGGCAGACTGAAACCTGGACCGTTCTGGCAGAAAGCTCAAAGTTGATAATAATAAAACAGGTACTGAGGTTTGGGTTTAGTACAAAAGGCTGCTCACTGTCTACGTGTCAAAAACCACAAACTTTAACAGTAAGAAATCAGCATCTTTCAGCCTCATTTGCTCTGGCATGTGTCTACATGCCAAACAAAGGCTCGAGCTGTTGCCGTTTCCACATCTTTCCCATCACAAAACTATTCACAATAAAGCCGATAAATCTGAGGCTGCGTGTGTTTTGTCAACATTTGATTTGTGTGCCTTCGTCAACATCTGCTCCGACTTAACTTTGGCGAATTATTTTGAAAGACATCAAATATCTTTAGCTGTATTTCACTGTCACAGGAGCCTGATCGAGCTAAATATGATTCCAGTGCAGTTTACAGTCCTGAAAAGACGATTCAGAAAAAAAAACTGTTCTCTGGAAGCAGAATATCTGTCTAAGGAGCAGGTTTAGACCTCAGGTCCCCCAAAAATAGATGTTTTCTTAAACTAGAGAACAGAAATCGGCAATGCCGCACCATTCTTCAGGGTTGTGCTGAACGAGTAAATGAATTAAAAATTATTCCACTGCAGTTTACAGTCCTGAAAAGATGATTCAGTAAACAAAAACAGTTCTCTGGAAGCAGAATCTCTGTCTGAGGAGCAGGTCTGGACCTCAGCTCCCCCAAAAATAGATAAAAGAAGTGACAGAATTGTGATTATAAAGCGTTTTTTTTGTGTGTGTGAAAATTATTGCATATTCTTCTTCATTGTTTTGTGGTATTTTTATTGGGAGCCATACCTAAAAACTGATATAATGTAGCTCAGAGATATATACTGAGAGTTGTTTTACTGGTAGCAAAAAAAAAAATACTACTATGCACTGGAGAGATGTAAAACCACCAACTATAAGTGAATGGGTCCAGAGACTGAGAAGTGTTTACAGGCTGGAGAGAATGACTAACTATGGACACTTTTGTACAAAGATGGACTTGTATTTCAGAATATTTGGGTGTCTGATGGATTTGGTATTTGTTTGTCTTTAAATGTATACTACTTGAGTTTTTGTCAGGAGGTGTTATGTAAAATTACAAAAATTATTAAATAAACGTAAATTAAATAAACATCGCTTTTGATAAAAGCGTCTGATAAATGCATAAACATAGACATAACCATAAACATAAAAAGTTTTAAAAAAATAAAAATAAAAAAAGATGTTTTCGTAAACTGGAGCACAGAAAATCGGCGATGCGGCACCGTCCTTCAGGGTTGTGCTGAACGAGTAAATGAATTAAAAATGATTCCACTGCAATTTACAGTCCTAAAAAGATGATTCAGAAAACAAGAACAGTTCTCTGAAAGCAGAATCTCTGTCTAAGATGTTTTTTCTTAAACTGGTGCACAGAAATCGGCGATGCGGCACCATCCTTCAGGGTTGTGCGGAAAGAGTCTGTGTGCATGTAGGGTGGCAAATGTGGCTTTAGCTGCTCAAATCAGCACTGACTGGAACAAATGAGACATTTACCGCATCCCCAAACGCCTGGGAGAGAAATGCTGTTACACAAACCTGCTTCTGCATTTTAAGGAAATCTATCAGCATGGAAAAAGCTGACTGATGTCATTTGAGTTTAAATCGGAGGATTTACAACAAGCCAGACCTGAATCTGCACGAGGCTTCAGGTTTAAAGGTGTTTAAA